TATCATCTACCATGTATTTTATTGTGAAAGCAGAATAACATAACAAATTTTTATTACTTTAAAGATAACAAGAAAATTAAATTTCGGCATTAAATAACTCATAAGGATTTGATATGCTGTTAAATAAACGAATGAAATCAACCAAATAATTTCTGTGGTCTTTATAAAGGTGTTTTGTTTATAAATAATAGATATAAATTTGTTTTGCCCAGAGGTGTTTTCCAGAGTATTTTCGCAACCGGCAGCCAAACTGAGATATATTGAATACATGTAGATTGGGAAAGTTTACCAATCGCCGACAGAATATTGAGTCACCAAGACTTCTTAACGCGAGAAATTAAGAAAAGGTTTTCTTCCAAGTGGAACCAAAAGAGTATTATTGTGAAACAAAATTCTGATTGAATTAGTCAACTAAAGACAACAATGTAACACAACACGCAATAATATACGCGATAATTTTTTTAATATGCTTCTATTTTTGATATATGCATATTTCATATCCTCATTCCCCGACTCTTTGTACACATTATTTTAACTCATTAATGAAGAACTGATGAGCGAAGAACAATAAAACCGGTGAGCTGTTTCTAATATAGTGTATTTGCGGACAAGAATGAATATTAATACTAATCGCAAGTGATCGCCAAAAGTGCCTGTAATGTGAACATTAAGGTTGGAACAGGACCAAGTATCAATGAAAGAAGAAACATTAAAACATGATTAAGGTGAATTCAGAATGCATGGGTTCTTTATCCTTGGCATACTGTATGGAGGCAATATCATTTCATTATTTCGAACTATTACCCACATCTTTGTTATACATATTCTAACCCAAACACTTTGATTAGCAACTCGCTGGCCATCATCAGGTGCTCATTGCTGATTCTTCAACTATTTTGTCCCGGTGATGACAATTATTATTCGTTCCTGCTGAATTAGCGTTTCAATACCTCATACAAGAATTAAATTCATAACCACTAGAAGACATAACAATTATCTTAGTATAATATTTTAGGAGTTTATATATTTTTATGTATTTTTTATTAATATTTTTTTAATAGTTATTGGTGTTTTTATGTAATATTTAATATATTATTTAATTTTTTACTATTAGTTAATTAATTACATTAATATGTTCAAATTTAATTATTTTTATATAATTTTATCTAATAAAATTTATTCTAAATGCACCTCTTCATTCACTTTCTCTTCTATTTTTAAGTTAGATTTTTACTTTGATTTAATCCTCCTCTTATTGGTTCATTATATTATATATTAGATGATAAATATTAACGGTTTTTCCCCTGTAAATAGGAATTATTTAATATAGGTCTAATTTAAAATATGTTGATTTAAATGTAAATGTTATTGAGGTAATTCATTCTGAGATAAATATAATCATTTCAATATATTAATTTTTATATTTTTCTTATTATTTTCTGATACACTGTTTATTTTAATATATCTTTAATTCTGATTTATTTCTCTTTTATATAAATGGGTTTATCTTTTTATTTAAATAAATATTATTTTTGTTAGTAGATTTAAGAAGGTTTGCTTTAAGTTCGTACTACCTTCTGATTGCTACTGTGTATAAAATAAATAAGTTAGCTCTTCTCTCTTTTTTCTTTAACTATTTTCCTCTTCCTATCTCCTTTGACCAACCCTCATATCCGGATTTACACTACTTCATTTTTATTTGCTCCCTTATTCTTTTTGGCATTTATTTTCTCTTCTTTTTTTCCGTTATCTGTCTGGACATTTTTAATTCAATAACTTATCACCCACTGTCTGGTTTGAAAAATCTTGTAAATTTTATTTCAATTTACAAGATGTAAATGATCATTAACCTACTGTAATCTTAATTCCTATTGTATGAGATATACATATATATACATACATACAAACATACATATATATATATATGGTTGGATTGATGTGAGTTTGTGACCCTGGGTTTCACGCTTTTGCGATCGTCAGACAAACTGATTAATTTTTTTAAAATTTGGGTTTATGTAGATTGCGTGTATCGGTGTTATTATGAGAGTGGGGGGAATCGTCGTGGTGATGTCATCTTGCTAACGCAAACATAGATGCATGTCCGTACATCAGATGAGGTACGCAGATACACATACACACTTGCATGTCCGTCGGGACTCATACATATATAAACATATGTGGACAATTTGGAATTTGACATATGTATGTATATGGGTGGTGTTGTGTCTATACATACGCATTTGTTAGCTCTATCTCTGATATTGAGCGTTTTCTAATAAGTACCGCGCATATAATATATAAATAATTATGTATATATATACATATACACTTTTCACACACACACACACACACACACATATATATATATATATATATATATATAAAAAAATTTAATACCATATATTGTTCAAACAGTAATACCATGTTATTAATTATTAAAAATCTTTATCAAATTTAACTAATTCTTTGAGCTGTAACTAATATTCTCTTTAATTGAATTTAGTCTATAAAATATGTATTCACATTTTATAATAGTGAAGCATTATTATTGCGCCTCACAGAACAATTTAAACGTTTATTTTTGTGTAAATAAATTCTTTGTTTATTGAAAATATATTAAACGTTTAGTTTTATTGAATATAGGAAGTTGAAACTTGATTTTTTTGTTTTTTCAACTTTAAAGTTGTTTATTCTTTATGTCTAAATCATTCATGAATATATCAAAGTTTGGAAAGCAATAAAAAAAATAGAAAAAATACCACAATATGTAAAAAATTAATTTGATGTGTGTTTGGGTGATGAAAAACAAAACCCTTCTAGTGTTAACTCAAAATTTTGACAATGGCGTTTATTGCCTTTTATATTCGAACTCTTTTATATATATATATATATATATATATATATATATATATATATATTTTTTCATGAAGTTATGAAAATTTCGGGAAATTTATAACTAGACAAGTTTCGCTTAATGGGAAAATTTCGGCCTGACCAACTGGTTCTTTGTTGCTCATTTGGTTAGAGCGTAGCTTCCTTTGCACAGAGGAACGCAGGTTCGAATTTGATAGGATTTCTTTCGATACATGACGGGCAGAAGTATGTTGCCATTTCTTTCTGCAGTAGACTTGTTGCCAACCAAGGTTAAAGAACCCAGTCTACCCTGCTATTTAACGTATAGCAGGGAAAGCAAGAGATAGCTTCATACCTTTCCCAAGCGTATTTTTTCGTAAGTGAATCTAAGAAACTCGACTGGAATTTGAACTCGGTTCTCCGATTTCTTTTTCCGAGTCGATAGCTAGTAGACCAGAACCCACATCTCGTATATTTTATACATTCTGAAAGGAGAGACAAATATATGTAGTAAGTGGTGCACTTATGTCCATACACAAACAATAATAAAAATGTTGCGCTTAAAGTAGTTATTAGTTTATGTATTTTTCTTCCCTTGAATCAATTTCGACGACGTCAAACGAACTGTAAAAAGGGTGAGATTACAATTTGCACACAAATCACGTTTTTAGAAAATATCAACGGAAAAATCTAGGACATAGAAAGATGTGTCTGGCGGCGGTTCGCTACTGATTTAAACTTTTTTTTTCTTAATCGGAGCTAAAATGTGGAAAATATCTCGCTAAATCAGACAACAATCAATTTCTAAACAACGATCGAAAACGTATTTTCAGACATATAAGTACAATTCTCTTGAAATTTTCAATTCGTTCATTGCCTTTTGCAAAATTTTGCTCTTGACTTTTCTTTCATTTTTTTCGTGTCTAATAAATTTCGAACTTGTTTTCTACGATTATTATTCATCTTTATGAACAACATATTTTCGAAAAAATTGGTCTCTTATTTTTGTTATCAAATGAATATTGATGTCGATTGAAACCAACAACATATTTACAATCTCTTCTAGTAGAAAGAATGAACATTAAAAATCAACTACTTAGTCTAAAGATTGGACTTGTGAAAATGTTTAATGTGTACTTGTGTGGGCCTTTTTGTGTGTATGATAATATTCCTCAAGAATTGTGTGTATAATATGTAGGAAAAAATTCATTTATGTGTAAAAAAAAAAGACGTGTATGAACAACATGAAATATAAAAATATGTGCCTATATTGTTATTGAAAAATTATTTCGAAATCTGAGATAAGGATCAAATAACAGAATCTCTCTTCAACAATAAAGCAAAATAAAAATGTTTATTTAATAAAACAGAATTCAGTCTCAAAGACGGTCCAAATGCAAAAAGCGGAATCAAACACTGATACAAGATGTCAACAGCTGATATATATATATATAAAACGTCATCCACAGACAGACTGTTTCGCTGCTCACCAGTGTGGCTAGACATCCGATTGCCTCTAGCCAGGATCGAAACCCGACTGAATTGGTATCAGTCGGAGATTCTAACCATTAAGCCGCAGGCGCACGGCAGTGATGAAAGTGAATTTTTTAGCGTATTTATTTTTTTACAAACACCTAGCCCGAGTGACCAACAGTGACTCCGTAATTGATGTATATATATATATATCTGAGTGTATATAAGATATATATATATATATATATATATATATATATATATATATATATATATATATATATATATAAAACAATCCGTCGGTAAGTAATCCAAGTAGATCCTATTAATATAAAATATTAAAACTGATCCACAAAAGAGAGGTCAATATATTTTTTATTATAAAGCATATAAGGGAATCACAATTAATGAGATCAAAACAATTTACCTCGAACAGATGATCATTTCGTCCGTTGAATGTAGTTTTTCCCTGGACTTAACAATGCAAATAATTTTACTAAAGTGAATAAAATCTCGAGTTACTTCACATGAAATTTGAAACCATATAATATAAAGGAAGGAAAGGAGGAAAAAAGGTAAAAGGAAAGAATAAAAGGGGAGGGAGTAAGAGTTGGCTTATAATAGAGGAGGGAGTTATATAGATATGGAGAGGTAAGAGACCTAAGCTCCTTGTAATGGAGTCAGGCCCATTACCTCTCCATATCTATGTAACTCCCTCCTCTATTCTAGGCCAATTTTTACTCCCTCTCCTTTTATCCTTTTATTCTTTCCTTTTTTCCTTCTTTTGCTTTTCAAATTTCCTGCGAAGAAACGTAAGATTTTACACATTTTAGTAAAAGTATTTGCATTGATAAGTCCTGGTAAAAACTACTTTCCCATGTAGAAAACGATCATCTGTATGAGGTAAATTGTTTGGATCTCATTAATTGTAATTTACCCCCCCCCCTTATATATATTTATGAATAAAAATGACAATAGGAAAACTGGTAATTTGTTCATTTAATTTCATTTTCGTATTTTGCTTTGATAAAGTCCACATTGGACGAAATGCGTCAGCAATTACCAGTTTTCTTATTGTCATTTTTATTCATAAATATTGTCTTCTCTACTGGTTAAATCGGAGAAATTTTCATATATATATATATATATATATATAATCACTGGTCGTCGGATCTGATAAGGTAATTTAATTTATTGCCCCCTTTATCCTCAAAACTCCCAACGCATTTTCTTTACACACAGTTATGTCATTCATTCCAACTTGATGAAGCCGAAAGCAACTAATATGAAATCGGTGAAATTTTCAAGATTGTCTTATTACACACACACACATACGCAACAGCAACAACAAAATATCTCCGGTTTACGTATGATCGCCGAAGTTAAGCAACGTAAAGTATAGCTGGGTGACCGCTCGGGAATATAAGGTGCTGCAAGCATCAACATGCGAGTGGTGTAATGGATAATGCCTCGGAATTGTTAATTGAAGAACGGTGTTCTAATTCCAGTTGAGTACCTTATATTCACTTACGCACAAATATCATTTGAAAAGACATGAATCCATCTCTTCTCCATCTCCAAGTATTAAGACTTGTATCCCTGAAACCATTATTATCTACCAGCAAAATATAAATACAATTGCGTATATAATATTTAGATTTCGGCATTAAATAACCCATAGAGGTTGCTGCTAAATATCTAATACGCACAATTTGTTTACAAACATTTGCATGCTTTAAACTCAGAAACATCACTACAAATTTTTGTACATCATAAACTAAGTCGTTTCAAAGACAGTGTATGAAGCTGTCTTTACCTGATTTGCATCGAACCTCTTTTATCAACAGCAAATCCTCAGCAAATCGCAGAGTACTTGCACAATCCGTTTTATGCTGCACGAGCTGCACATCAGTATCGTTTTTCGATCAATTCATCTATGGATGAAGAAGACCCTAAGCATTCACACTTTGGGATTAACTTAAGGTTGAATTTATCGACTTTCATTTTGTTCTGAAGTAACTTTTGTCTTGTAATGGTGTTCAGTTGCTTCCAGAACCCACTTTTTTTTTTTTTATCGCCGACTTACGTCACCGCAGTGTGTCGAGATGGCAAATATAATTGCATTCGCTCTGCGCTTCATTACGCTGACCACCACACGGAAACATCCACATTGATAGGTGCCCGTATAAGCCACGCATATCTGCCAGCGAAAGTGGTATTTTCTAATGCAAAACTTACAATCGTTAACGACCCTATATATTTACAATATATGGGATCTTATTATGGAAAGCTATCATTTTATGGCGGTTAGAATAATGTCTGTGTAGAGCTTTTACTTCGATCTCCAAACTAGCAGAACGTAATAATATGAAGCCGCAGGATATAGAATATAACACATCTAAAATAGAAGAAATAAACGGAAATTAGTTTGAACGTTGAGATTCTGCATGATACGATCTTAAAGGGAAACCAGTAAAATGAAGCCACTAAAGCCCAGTGTAGATTACTAAAAAAAAAGACAATATAAAAAAGGAGTAGAAGATATAGAAGAAACAAGGGAAAATGAAAAGAAAATGGCGACGCGTGCTCAAAATTTCAACTCAGAATTCAAATTGCCTAAGGAATGTTCTTCCAATGAGATGGCGGTAACAAAATGTTAAGATAAGTATTTTCTTTTTTCTTTTTTTGGTCAAATTCCCGAAACTTTTTATGCTCGCACGTCGAGCACATACGCAAATATATAAGATAAAGACAGACCAAATGAAAGTGAGAGATAAAAAGTGCTTTGGCTTAAAAACTATTTTTACTGTATGTAAATACTGGATATTCTCAAGTTTAAAAGAATCAGAGGTAAGAGTCGACTGCTGAAATTCTGTTGTGGGGGATTGAAGTTTATGTCTGGGTTCGACTCCGCAAAAGATATCTGTCAAAAATTCGTCCGTGTTAGCCAATAGCATGCAAATAGAACTTGGGACATCAAAGCAATAACACCTCTATCCTGTTACTATTTTAATATTGGAAAATGTTTATAAGTAAGAATAATTTTCTTTATAGTAATATTTTTTTCTTTCTTTTCATTTGGGTACTTATAATTGTTAGACAAATCTGCCAAATATCAGAGATATTTCATCAAATATATAAACTTATGTTGACATTTTGTTCATATGTCATGTCTATTCAGGACATGAATCACCTCAAATCTTTTATTTTTCCTTTATTATCAGTGAATTGCTCTGATTTCTTGGAAAAAAACAAATTTGTTTTTTTTCCTGTTGACTTTTCCGCTGATTTGAATTCAGAGCAGTTCTTTTCCCAGACTAACTGCTGTGTACGACTAGAGATTGTAACGGTATTAGGCCACTATTTTGTTACATGACTCGTGTTTCTGATGATGTTGACTTGTTTTTTTGAAGAGGGATATTTTTGTATTGAAAGGAGAATTATATTTATATTATAGGTTATTGCGGAGATGTGTTTCTCGTATGAGTTTTACTTTCGAACTGGAGACAGTGTTGGTATAATACTATATCCATTGCGACAGGGGCTTTGTTGGGGACTAAGAACTCCCCTTGTGTGAAAATGAGACATGTCTTGTCATTAGAGTATCCTGCGATTTAAGAAAAGAGAGAGACATAAAGAGAGATAAAGAGAGAAGGATAGATAGATAAAGAGAGAAAAACTTTTTTTTTTACAAACATGAAATATTAGGGTGTAAGCAATTATGATTATACATATATTATTTTTCTTTCTTATCTCACCTTGAATTCTAGGGAAAAAAAATTGAAGTCATTTCTCATTGCCTTCACCACGTTTTTTTTTTCCATGTTGGTTGTGATCCAACAAAGCTGTTTAACCCTTAGCCGCTGGGAATTCCTTTTTTTCTCCAAGAACATCAGAGCAAAATTGAAAGAAGCAAAGAGGTTAAAATTGTATTGTTCAAAGAAGTCCGCGCCACATAATAGCAATTCTAGGATAAACTTGTCAATAAAAACTTTGCCAGATTTATCAATGAAAAGTTATTGGTATTTTTTCTGTTAATTCACCCCAAATAATGTAAAGTTACTTATCGCAAATATTAATTTACCCCCAAGAAATGACAAATTTTAAATCAAGTTTTTTTGTTTATTTATTAAATGTTTGGCACTCCTTTGAAATTATAAATTTTAAATTGTGAAACAAAAGAATGTTTCATATACTGTGTGTCAGATAGAACAGCCTCCACAGTATTGAACACAATTCGAAGCTGTATTTTACCTGGGACTACGATTATGCCGGATTGTCAGAAATGATATACATCTTTGAAAGATGACCCCAATTATATTCTTCTTACTGTAAATCACAGTATAAATTTCATTGACCCAGAAACATTATCTGACATGCAAACAATCGAAAGTACCTAACGGAACGTCAAAATGAAGAATAAGTTCATGTTCAGAACACATCGCTACATGGTAGATATTTATTTGTATGAGTTCGTTTGGAGACGTAAGGCAAAAATAACAATGAATGGCATTTTGAGCAAAATGATACTTCTGAATTTTACTTTGAATTTAATATAAATTCTTTTTTATTTTGAAGTAAATTAATATTTTGGGGTGAATTAATATTTTGGGGTGAATTAACAGAAAACTTTCAGTTAGTGTCTTAAGTCTAATATTAAAAATGTATTAACAAAGTGTTTTCTCCAACGTCCATGAAAATATTTTGTTTGTCGCCGTCCTATTTACACAGAATGATTTATAATCATACTATCTATATTTTAATTTAATAAATTCGGTAAATTCGTTCATGAGTTACCTTATTCAATTAGTATCGATTTATCTGTTTATCTCTTATTTCAGGATGGGAAGCTGATGGTCACATCACGTTGACACACCAGCTTTCGTAATCTCAGCGCAGTTAAACAACGACGAGCCTGGTCAGTATCTAGATGGGTGACGACTTCGGTATACCATGTGCCTTAAAGTTGGATGTAAAATTGACCTTTTTATTGCGGGTGGTGTAATGGATATTTAATCGGAATTGTTAATCGAAGAGACGAGTTCGAATTCCAGTTGGGTTTGTTAAATTCGATTTTTTTCATAACTTCCCACTGGGAAAAAGTATGAATCCACCTCTCTTCTCCCAATTTATGGGTTAATTAGTAAGAATTTGTATCGCATAATCATTATTATCTAAAAATATATTGCAAGATTTTTTTTAATAATATTATATGATATATATATATATATATATATATATATATATATATATATATATATATATATATATGTCTGTATATATATATATGTGTAAATCTTATATATATATATATATATATATATCATATATATGTGTGTGTGTGTGTATAAATATTCATAGAAGGAGTATATCTATAGAAGAGACAGAACAAAATGAATGCAAAGACAAGAGGAAAAACTATTCTTAGCCGACTCGTTTACTCCTCTCAGGGACTTTATGATGAATATTCATGTTCAAATTTAAAAGCCTTGATAAACCAATGACAGCCTCGCTTTTTTTTTTTATATAAACACGTGCAACTAAATAAATCATACGTTTGGCTTCATAAAGTATATTCGACATCAAGGTTTCTGCTCATGAGACTGAAGGTTTTGAGGATTCTGCAACCACCTCTTAATTGCTATTGTTTTTTCCTCCATCCAGACCCGTGGTGGTAGCACCTGTTAGGGGTCCTAGCTATGGGAAAATAGGGACCCCCCACCCCAGACAAAAATATTATGAAAGTGTAAAAATACATTTTTATAGTAAAAATATCACGAATACATTTTTATATAAAAAGACCGACAATATA